GAACATCATGAAAACACCCCATATTTTGATATATTTTGGAGGGGTTAAATCACATGTAATTACTGGTTGGTGGTTTGGAACATTTTTTTTATTTTTCCATATGTTGGGAATAATCATCCCAACTGACTAATATGTTTCCGAGGGGTTGAAACCACCAACCAGATTATATACATCTATCCCCATCCATCCCCCCTTTTTTTCTCCTCCCTACAAGTACATTAAATCTTATGGCATCCATTTGCATCCCATCCCATTTGTCATTGCAGGTTGAACGTTTGAACTTGAAACCATCCAAGCTTTTGACCCATCTCTGCCAGATTTGGCTGATGATTAAGGCAACATTTGCAGGAGACCGGTAAACCCAATAGATCCAATAGTTGGGGGTAAGATGGGCAATTCATCATAGTTTTAACTGTGACTATGTCATACCCTCTGGTAATTTAACATAGCTGTTGAAAATTGCCATTTATAGTGGATTTTCCCATTAAAAATAGTGATTTTCCATAGCTATGTTAGTTTACCAGAGGGTAATACTAATAATATGTCAATATCTTCCATGGGAACTCAGCAAGTTTCCTGAGCGGCGGTGTTCTAAGGAAAATCTGGCTGCTTTATACTGGCTGGCTGGCTTTATAACTTCGTTAACTGTTGTTAACTCTATAGTAGCTCATCAACCATCAACCACCATTTCTGAATCATCTCCCCAGTTGCTTTATAACTTCGTTAACTCTATAGTAGCTCATCAACCACCAACCACCATTTCTGAATCATCTCCCCAGTTGCTTTATAACTTCGTTAACTTAAAAAATAGTTCATCAATACTCATCAACCATCAACCATCATTTCTGAATCATCGAAATCAGCAGCCTTCAACGATCTTCAACGGATCGCAGAGCTCAGGAGCCGCGGGATCGCTTTCAGCTTCAAACCTCCTGCCAGAAGCCACCTGATTTGGGTCGACACTAACTGGGAATGACTATTTTTTTTGGCTCAGAAAACACTGTCACTTGGAATCGTCAAGGACGAATATTTTAAAGATTATATATATGATACTACTATTGAAGCATTTCTATTTTTTTGTTTAATAACGGGGTTTAAACAAAGATTGATTGATGCTCAAGATGGTATTTAACTTGCTGATTTTTTTTGAATAATATTTCTGTTCACCCTCTGCCTTTGGATCGATTTAAGGTTTGGCTCAAGATGATTTTCACCTACGTTTTATGGGGCGGTTTCAGTTGCTACAAGCCGAGGGTCGTCCATTTTTGAGCCAAAATACCAGCTGATGAAGCTGCAAAATATCCAGGGACAGAGACGTCAGTCCAGGGGCAGATGATTTTAGATGTACTTTGCTGGGGGTGCTGCCCCTTAACCTCAAAGTGGATGCTGCGTTAATGTGTGATCGCGTGCCTGAAAAAAGTGTATAGATACCCTATGATAGGGGTGCTCACTGGGCACACGACTGCGAATGTGTTCGAAGCATAGGCCTCACCAAAGGCCATGTCGTTCTCGAAAAGTCGAACTTCAATATGATCATCAACCATCTAGAATTTCAACATATTTCAACCATTTGTCTTATCATTTGCTTTAGTTAATCTTTTGTTGATGTTAAACGGTTCGCTACTTGAGCTCCATAGCTCCATAGCTCCGGATGCCTGTTGTTCAGACCGGCGTTTCGCTGTGCTGGGCCAGCGACTCGGACAACGTGTCACTTTCAGATACCCTTCCGGTAATCGAAGCTGGCTGGAAATCCTTGAAACTGCCATTTTTAAGCCATCTTCCTAGATGATCCAGGTCATGTTCGATGATTTTCGAGCCATGTTTTGATTGCCACAGGCTACCATGTTTTTTTTTGTGCATGCGCAGTTAACGGGTTGCGCCAAGACGGTGCAAAGAAGGTGGTTGCTTACCCGCTCAAAATGCCACACCAGTTGGCAGATTGCAGAAAGTTAGTGGAAAAGCAGCTCCTGAAATTGTGATCATGCTGCTGGTCACTGTTGTATTTTGGGGCGATTTCATGAAGGTATAGGGCGAAATAGCCAGCCATTTGCCAGTGTATATTCAATGACTTGTTTCCCCTAAACCCAGGATTCGATGGGATTTGGTTGTTGGAGTATGTAGGAGTCATTTCATCCTATCAATTGAACATTACATGTTTATAATGCATAAGTAGGTTTTGATAGATGTTGCAAGCAGTATTAAACTCTTGAACAATATATAATTATATATTTAATTACTTATAATTATACAATATGTTTTTTTTGCATCGCCATGTGCGGTGATAGAAACAGGATGCACTGGAAAAAAAAACAAAAAAAACATCACCTTTGTTTCTTAGATCCCCTTGTTAGAATCCCCATGTGTGTCGCATAAATTCCCTGTTTGTTGGTAAATATCTACGGTTTCTTGAATTCAATTCCAGTGTTTCTTAGATATAACAGAAAACCAGATAAAACCAATCTGTTTGTCGGTTTAACGATGAAATTGCCAGTGTGTTTTCAACCCATAGGGCGCACATTTCCAAGCGCTGAACCTTGGGAGGACCCGGAATTGCTGCACCTGTTTTCGACGCCGCGGTGTCGCGCCAGTGGAAACCCCTGCCGTGCGGGGCATCAGTTCGAAGCCCAGGGGGCCCAGGGCTTTCCAGGGCGCGCCTGGCTGCAGTTCATCCCAATTTAGATGGGCCGCTAAGATAACTAGGGCCACTAGGGTTTATGGCAGTCATAACATGTCAATCATGTCATAACTATCAGATATCTTAGATCATACACCTAGATCATTTTAGAATGGATTGATAATACCTTCCCCGAATCATATTAAGTTTTCTCAGAAACCATGGTGCTGGTAAAAAGCAACGGATGATATCACATTAAATCACACATTTGGGACGTTTTATGGGATGTTTAATATTGGTAGTGTCGGAGTACAGTATTTGTATTCTTATATTGATATTAATTGCAGAATCATAGAATGTCAACTCCGGATCAATAGACCCCAGGCTGGGCTGTTTAACTAGGAGTTGCCATTTTAATAGTGGATTATCATTATTTTGGGCCTACCCTTTAATTAATGAACCAGCTTTGATTAATCAGGGGAGGGCAGATGAATTCAGAAGAAAGGGGATGTGAAATGATGTGAGTAGTCACATCCATAAGTGGATATACCGCCTACAACTAGAGTCATACAATCACTAGAATAACTTAGCCCCCCAATCAGTTGGATTAAGTTGGATTAAGTTGGTATATAAATATAGCGATAAATCGCGTAATTTACTAAGGTAACTGCCTAGAGGTAGGCCCGGGCCCGTTTTTTCAGGGCCGGGGCTTCTCCCCGGCTCCCAGGCCTTGGCATCAAAGCGGGGGAATGCTTCGGGCTGTTGGGCCCCAACGGCGCGGGGAAGACCACCACTCTGGCCGTCCTGCGCGTCGGCTCAGGGCGCCACGATGGACCTGGTAGACCTGGTAGACCTGGATGGATAGGAACATCCCATGGGAAACAAAAAGCCTCTGGTTATGACATTCACAGTTCGCCATGGTATAGATGGCCCTAATCGAAATAGATGGTCTACCTGGTTTACCTATGAAAATAGCATGATGTTTTTCCATGGCGAAGTGTTAGTCATAACCAGATGGTAGGGTTGAAAAACCATCCCATACCATCCCTTAGTGCCGGTTGATGTGCCGGATTTCACAACCATCCACTGTAAGATGACTGGAATTCTTGGCAATGAGTAGTGGAACGGGCTTGAACAACAAACATGGGGGAAAACGTTTCAAGCAATGATTACTAATGGAATTTCGCCAAGACATACAGAATATATATATAGGTTTTACAGCTAGAAATGGGGATTGATTTACCATCCACACACCCAGTTAAGTTGTTTTTCTTTTAATTGGGTGTTGTTTGGAGGATAATCCCACGTAGGAAATTGGCAACGTCACCTCATGGCGTGGGGTTTGACCCACATCAAGGTCCAACATGAATGGTGCGAGAGCTCCACCCCCAGGAACCTTGATGTAGTGGAATATCGTGGTGGAATATTGTACTGGCTGGTGGCTGGTGGTTTCAAACATTGTTTATTTTCCATTTCATATATGGGATGTCATCCTTCCCATTGACGAACTCATATTTTTCAAGATGGTTATTGCACCACCAACCAGTGTAGATTTGTGTGAAAATTCAGATGGTTACTATCTCAAAGTGGGATGGTTTTGTGCGGGTGAGGGCACCCTGAAATCCTATTGGATGATTGGAAGATTCACGGGAAATCTTTACAATTAAGAGTCATTGGCAGGGTTTTCAAAACAAAACACACCCTTAACACAATCCTGGTTGGTGGTTTGGAACATTTTTTATTTTTCCATATCTTGGGAATAAGAATCCCAACTGACTAGTTCAAACCACCAACCAGATGAAAGAAGCCCGAAATCATCATGTCTTGCAGTTCCACTTGGAGTTCTCGGAGCGGTTTCATGGCCACTAGGCATGTTGGAATGTGGGCTCCAGGTTTGGATGAGGTACCCATCAGCCATGAAACAACCAAGGATCCTACAGGAAACTACTTACATACCCTTTGGTAATTTAACATAGCTATTGAAAATGGCCATTTATAGTTGATTTACCCATTAAACATGGTGATTTTCCGTAGCAATGTTTGTTTACCAGAGGGTATCTATTTGTTTGTTTGTTTGTCTGTTTGTCTATGTTTATATATACACATATGTATATATAATACATGTTGTATAGCTTGAATATATGCATGCGAAGATAACATAAACGTGTGCATTGATATGTGGTAACTGTTCCATGCATATAGGTATGCATGTATGCCTAAATCTATGAATCACTCAATCAATGTCAATACCTATCTATCAATCTATCCATCTATCGATCTACCTATCCATCTATCTATCGATCTATCGATCCATCTATCGATCTATCAATCTATCCATCGATTTATCTACACAGGTTTTAAAAAATCTTGTCTATGGAAAATTGGACGAAGCACCTGGCAGTGTTCGCCACGTTCTTTGACGTTCTTTGGCGTGGCCGCCATGGCAGACCCACTGGCGGCCACCAAAGAGATGCTGCGCCTGTCTCCGCGGGACCAGCGATGGCATGAGAGCACCTTGGGGGGTACAACATGGGATAGTTTTAATGGGAAAATAATGGGACAAATATGGGGAAATCATCTATAAATGGATATTAAAATGGAAGATCATTATTAATGGAAGTTTCTTCACTGGCGATTGTTTGCTGTAAAAATGTCGGAATGCAGAAAACAGCTCCATTGTTTGATGACCAAATTCAGAGATATGAGATATCAACTCGAAAGAATAGATTTAATAAGTAACATGGGCATGCAAATGAAATTGGGGATCTAAACAGCACACATGGGAAGTCTATTAAGTCTATTATGTCTTGGCTGACTTCATTCAAAATGTCCTGTGGCCATCACACATCGAAAATGGACCATTAACACACGGATTTATGTGATTTGAACATCAAACATATAATAGGGGATTAAACCAGTTGTGCACATAGGCGATCATAGTGTGGCGTTGGACTAGGGTGACTAATTAGTTGAGTTGGAAACTCCACAATTTAGCTGAAGTGATGAATGTTACAGGGTTGTTACAGTATCTAGATATTTTCAAGTAATTTAAGAACGGGAACTTCCCGGTGCCAGCTAGTTTGCTGCTTCGGTGACTGCAATCACTTACCCCAACTTTCTGGGAATCAGCATGGTTTCAACCGTACAAAATTGATGCCCTGGTTAGAAGTGGGCTTATAACCCCACGCAACTAGCTCATCATCACCATAAACCCCAGTGAAATTGGAGTTACCAACTTAGTAACTGGATGTAACTGGTAGATTTTCAAGTATATCTGTATAAACTACGGTTACACAGTTACACATGAACTATAGTAATAGTCATAGTTATATATATACACACACATATATATATATATACATATATGGCTATGGATCAATACCTATTAATACCATTTTTAGGGGGATGAACATCCATTTACCAGCTATTTTGATGTTCACCAGGGGTACAAGGTTTTGACACACTGCCATATATATGATACCAACGTTAGCGATGAATCGCTCACGTAACCGCGCAGGTACTGACGAGATGGCCTCGCTGATCCAGGAGGATGAGACGATGTCGCCCTGCTTTGAGGGAATGACCTCCACGGAGGCACCGGACGTCGACCGGGAAGTGGGTCCAATGTGGCACCGAAATGGGCATCGGAAGATGGGAAAAATCAGCCGGAAATGATGGTACATTTTTATTGGTCACGTGGTTTGGAAACCATATTTTGAACCTTGAGAAGTCTGGAACATGATGAATCCCAACATATTTTTGAGGGGCCTTTTGATGTCCATATTTTTGGGGTCTAGATTTGGGAACCCATTGATCCATCATCCTAAGGCAGCTTCACCAAGATCTCAGGATCATTTTCCACATCAGCAAAACGTCTAGTCTATTTACAGTGATGATGTTCTCACTATATGACTTTACATATGTATTATATATAATTATACATTATTTGATGTTTAAATCTACAGTTTTGTGAACTCTGAATTCGTAATTCTTATCCCATCCATCTCCATGTTTAAATGTTTAACGTCGAGCTGGTTAACACAAACAAACCCCCAACGTTTCTGAGTCCACAAAGACCGCAAGGTCTCCAGCATTTTGATGCGCACCCTGTGTCCCGCCTCCCTCACCTTTCGCGAACGCCTGGCCCGTGCGATTCCTGCCAAAGACGTGGGCGCTCCTGGCGTTCCGCTGGACTGGTCCCGACTGGCGGCGGCCGAAACGACCGAAGCCTTGGCGGAGGAGGCGGCAAGCAAAGTGGAGATCAACAGCGGTGGATATGTTGCCGTGGATGGCAGATGGTTCATTTTTCCATATCTTTCTATGATTTTCCCGTCAGTTCAGGGATGATAGGGGTCATGAATCCTAAGGGGTCAATAGACCCAGTTTTCACAATGGGAATCTGTAGCGGGTGCACACTGGTAGCAGATTGAGCTCTCAACCAAATGGGGTTTCCACAGCCCCACCAATCAAACAGCACAGCAAATGAAGCGAGCGCAAGGCTCAGCAAATGTTTTCCATGCACAGCGGGTGTGCGTACAATCGCACCATCAAGTGCTCAAAGGGGCCCCTACAGACCCGTATGGTCATATGAGCCAAGCATCACGGAGTCATCCAAGTTTCAGATTGGCAATGCTGATTGGCAAAGGAAGGTACCTGGCAGGTCAGGAGCTGGACATGTTGCACCAGCACAAAAGAAGGTTGAGCAATACTTCGATTGCTCATAGATCACATCCTGCCAGGTTTCAAAACTATCACTCTTACTGGCGCTCTCAGTTGAAATCAGCAGCTGCTCAATCAAAGCGGCATTGACTGTGTCATCATTCTGCAAGGCTCGCGCAAAGAGACCATGCAAAGCGTCATCAACTTTCTTTACAGCAGTCAGTCCGGCACGCTTGTTCTTTTTGGCAGCAGTGAAAGAAGGATCAAAAGCAATACTCCAATGCCAATGACGCAAAAACTTCATCAAGCCATCTCGGCTGTCGTTGCGCTTCTTGGTCATTGAGTCTGCTAAATCATAGTCAGATGCCAGCCAGCGAAGTTCACTTCCAACTCGCTGCAAGTTGTCTCGAAGCTGAAATGCTTGAAGGGCAGCTCGGAGATTTGAAAGACCAAGGAGAGGGGATTCGTTCACCTCCACCGCATCATATCCACCACGGCTATCCGTGCAAATGATGCCCTTGATACATCTCACCTGGTTTTCGGTGGCTTCAACCAAGTCATCACGCTGTCCATGACGTCCAAAACAAGCGCCATGCATTTCAGTCCACAGAAGTCGGACCCGGTAATTCTGGTCCTCACCTTCCAAAACAGCTTGCACCTCTGCGTCGTTGGAGGCAATGGCCTTTCGCTTCAGTTTCCAGCTTCGCCAGGTCAGGAGCATCATGGGACACACACACACCCTGAGACAGCTTCAGGTCCAGCAGCAAGTGTAACAAGTCCACCAGTGCTATCGCCTTTTGGGCGATTGTTGTGGGCTTGATCTCCCATAGTGATGAAAACCATTTGATTCCATCGCTCCACAGTTGGCAGCTTGAAAAACTCAAGGTGTTGAGGTTCACGGCGCACTTCGCCAATCATTTGTTGGATCTCCCTCGCATGTTCCAGTGTGCCTGCTGTTACAATCTCAGTCAAAAGAATGTTGCACCTGGAGCAGAGTTGAGGTTGAGATTGGATGGCTAGCCATTGAAGTCCACCAAGAGAGGTACGACAGGCAGCCACCTCAGAAGGAGTCAAAGGACCATTGCTGCGAAGACGAACTGGATCAATGTTGACATCCGGCAGTGATTCAACATAGGCATCTTGATCGATGCGCAGCTTGAAGCCATTCTTGGTCTCAATGGTGTTGATGTCACTTCCAGCATGGCGATAGCTGTCGCGTTTCATAGTTCCCCACTTGTAGGAGGCATCTATCTTCTGGCAAATCTGTTGCCACTCCAAGGATGTGTCATCACCGATCCTGTGGAAGTCGTCCACATGACCACCCATGGCTCCTATGAGCCGAGGAAACTTGCCCGTGATGTCTTTCTCGTGCTTGCTGAACCAAAGCCATAGGCAACGTTCGCCAAGTGCAGCACGGCCATCCAAGGAGGTTAAGGTACGATGCAGATCAAGCCAGAGACCCCTTGGGGCCGTTGTTGACCCGTAGATGTTGCGAAGAATACGCAAGACAGAGTCTCGTGGGATCTGGAGTGCATCGTGAAGTTCCTGGACACCTGTTGTCCATATCTTGCTGTCGGCCTCAGTAGGCATTGTCTGCAAGAATGCCGTCGCTAAGTCCAGGCCATGTAGTCGCCACTGGTGCGTCGCGGCGAGTAGATAGAGCATATTTCTGCCCAAGGAACTCTGCACCGGAGCTGATGTTTTGAACCCCTTGTCAAGAAGAGAGGGGTGCTGGTAGCCCAGGAGGACAATGCGCGCCTTCGCCTTCTTCGTGGCTGTGGCGTTGACGACGCTGTCAGGATTCTTGTCCCTGTCTTCCTCAGCGGCGGTCTTTTCATCTGGAGCAACAGCCTTCCAGGTCAGTACCCATCGGGCTTTCAATATTCTGCCGGTGGAGTAGGCCTCCTTCACCTCGCTGCTGTTGAGGCAGCGACGTACTGCTTGGTTCTGTATAAAACTGTGAACTTCTTTCTGCTTTGCCCTTCTGAAGAGTTCAAGGTCTGCAGGGCCCAGACGCTGAAGATTGACTTCTGAGCTGTTGAGTTTGCGGACCAGATACGCCACTGGATTCCTTTCAAAAACTTTCTGTTGCCTATGCGACTGAAAGTCCAAGTCGATGTTGAAGACCAGGCATTCATCATTCTGCTGAAGCGCGGCCATAAAGTCCAAGGCCTTGGATTCCATGTCAGCTTCAGCAGCAAGTTGTTCCACCCATTTGAGGTCGTAGGAGCCTCGTGATTTCTTGGAGTCAGGTGGATCTGAAGGCCCATCATCCAACATAGGACCATAGTCATTCACTGCCTCATCATCAGTGTTGGCCGTGGCACCAATCGGTGTGCCAGGGTCATAGCCAGGTGATGCTGGGGCTGATTGCTCAGCATCTGCAGGTGGAAGAACAGGAGAAGAGGCAGCAGCTTTTGATTGTTGCGGAGCAGGCACATAAGAGAAAGCTCTGGTGTCTCGAAGTCCATCGCCGACACCCAGTGGAGAGCTTCGTGGAATTCGGCGCCAATCCATTGGTCCGTAAGTTGATTTCCGCCATGCTCGCGTCACAGGAACCAGTGTGGTTTGATCTGGCCGTAGAGGAAGATCTGGACATTCAACTTCATCAGGACCTGGTTCATCATCAGCCAAATCCTCAAACTCACGCTTGGGGATGATGTCGGCCAATGTCTTCCATTTCGATGGATCTTCTCCGCTGGTCAGGTCATACTCCATACGCTCAGTTGGTGTGCAAGGTCGGATGGAATGGACCGAACACCGCATGACCCGCTTGCCAATGAGCACCCAGCAGATATGGCGTCGAGCATCATCAGGAGATTGATGGGGCAGGACCTCTTGGAAAATGATACGGCCTGGCCCAATCCAGTGTGGTCGCCCAGACTTTTTCAAACCTCCACGCTTGCCAAGATGTTGATCAGCTGGTTGGTATCGTCGCCAAACCTTGACCAAGTCCATAGGTTCAAAGGTTCTAAGAGGCTGGCGCACTGTAGTGTTGCTGAGCTTGGAGAGGACTCTTCGAGCTCGAGTGCGGACTGCTACTTCTTCAGCTTTTTGTCGAGCTTGAACCAACCGTTGAAAGTCCATGGTGGTATCAAGCTGGCTGAAAGTCCGATAGTCCTCATCAGCAAGAGAATATTGACTGCCAAATGCCCATTGAAAAGAGCTAAACCCAGCAGTAAATTCCGTGGCATTGAGAGAGGAAGCAGTCAAAGCCAGCGTCACCTTTGGGTCTTGACCCGTGTCTTCGAGGTGGATTGCCGTAGCTGTTATTTTCACATCTTGGATTGCAGCTTCAACAGCACCGTTCGCCCAGGGCTCCTTCTCAGGGATGAAGTGCTGTTGGATGTTCAGCTCAGAAAGAAACTGGGAGAACTCAGGCGTGGAAAAGGTGTTGGCGCTGTCCATCACCACCAAGTTCGGTTTGGGGTAGTGACCTAGCCACCCTTCAGAGAAACATCTGATGATGTCTTGATGAGTTTCACCTTCTTGCTTGAAGTTCTCATAGGTCTTGATATGGCAAAGGACACGCAGCTTCGTAGCCAAGTCCATGATCAGAAGGAACTTGAGCTTCAGCCTTGATCCAGGAATCTTCCATTCCGAGGTGTCCATTCCAACAGCTTGCCATGCCTTGAGCATGGGAGCTGTAGAGGCAGGTGGAATGGAGCCAGAGCTCGTACCACCAGGCTTGATGGATTCACAGGCAGGACACTTGTAGTTCATCACCTCATCAATTTTCCACTGAGGTTGGCCAGCATTCTTGACCAAGCGGGCCAAGTTGCGATTGGTCGGATGACCAGCAGCTTTGTGGTAGGCCGCGATCTTGGCCTGCCACTTCTTGAGCTCGTCAGAGCTTGGTTCATCAGAAGCAGGATCTGCAGGTGGCTGGGCAGACCTCTCATGTGGAAGACCTTCTGGTGATTCATCATCTGGTAGATCTTCTTGTTGTGCTGGGAGAGCGGCCAAAACTGGTAGTAAAACTTGTTCAGGATCTTCAACGTCCAAGGACTGACACAGAGGATCCGCGTAGTCTTCCTTGGCGTACAAAAGTTTCAAATGCTTGTCAGACAGAAACTGCTGTTTCCAAAAACGAGCTACTGACTGGCAAAAACGCCAAGGATAATATGCCGATCGAGCCGTTTCAGGCCCTTGGATCCAAACATGGTTGTGAGACCCCAAACAGGTCTTGGTCTTGTAGTTGAGGTGGAACTGCTCATCGGTGGTTTTGATAAGCCACCGTTTTCGAATGAAGCCTTCATTCTTGCTGTCCATGAGGCCGTAACGACACCCATCAACTCGGCAGTCAAGCCATGGAAGTCCAATAGAGTGGATGTACTTCTCCAAGTCCAACATGGGAGCTTCTTGCCAGCCTCGACAAGGAAACACCCATTCATAGTAGATTTGACAATCTGGGTCTTGAAGAAGAGCATCACGGACAAAGGAGTTCATGCACCACAACATCTTGCGTTCTCTCCGTTGATATTGTTTCAAGAGTTCCTGACGTTCAGGAGAGGCATAGTTGATGTAAGTCCACTGGCAAAACTTGGTGCACGGCAAGCTGAGCCAGATCTTTTTGGGTTTTCGCTGAGCACGGAGCTGCTTCAAACGCTCCCAAGTAGCTGGCTGGTACAAATCGAAGCCAGAGTGGAGATTGATTCTCCTCGACTGAAGACCTTGGGAGTTGCAAGCTTCGGAGAGCCAGCTGTGTGGCGAGCATGCCACTTCCCAGACACCATCACGTCCATCAAGACAAAGTTGAATGGTGCTGGCAGCCATCACCATTAGCATAGAAGCAGCCATGTTCATCAACTTGGATGCCACCCTTGAAGTCAAAGGTCTCATGCTCGGCAATCTCAGTTCATCTCGCTCTCCTCGTTGTTGGCGTTTTGACATGGAGCAGCCATCGATGACTGAGCTTGGCCCTTGCGCTCTTGAATCACCTGCTTCAGCTTGCTCTTCTCCTCTTCGGACAGAAGAGCTTCCATTTCGGCAGGAGTCGGCGCTTCGCTGATTGCCTCCCGGGATGGAGTTGGGCTCCCAGGAGGTGTCTTCGGCTTCGTCTTGTAGTCGTCGTGGAACAGCACGTTGGAAGGCTTTGGAGCTTCGTTGATCTTTATGACCAGGGCATTCACAACCTCGTCCGCATCGATCTTGGCCTGCATGGCACGGCATAGCTCCAAGGTTGGTCGTCGACCCTCGGTCATCACAAAGGTCTCTCGAAGCATCCTTTCCACCATCCCCGGATTCTCGCACTTGGTCGTCTGACCGGCTGCACCCACTCTCGGCACATAGGACAGACGTAGGCCGCACACTGCACATTCGATCCATCGACCGTGCTGGTTGGATCGCGCTCCCGTCGGTGTGTGCGCCGCATAGCACGGCCATTGATTGGCCTTGGCCCTTGGATCCCTCAGGTCCATACTGACCTCTCTGGAAGGATCGAAAGGCTGAGCTGGTGCCTTCTTCGGTGTGCTTTGCTTCGCCATGCTGGTCAACTGCTTGGACTGCTCCGCAGTGATCATCTCCTTGGAGGTCGACATGGCGAGCACACTTGGAAGAACTCGAATTTGCGCTGTTGCTCTTGGAGATCATGAGAGCTGAGCCAGATGCTGAAGCATTCGAAGGCTGAGCAAGTGATCTCAAAGTTCTCAGTCTTTGCACTGCCTCAATTTTCACCTTCTCATCAAGCATGCGTTCAGAGACCGTGAGATCATAGTATTCAACTGGATGAAATTCTAGAGATTGAAGTGAATGCACAGCTTCGGCACCCTTGACCCGGATGGTGGCATGACCCTCATGACATTCATGTCCTTCAGTTAGAAGCTGAACAACATCCAAAACATAGTGCCCTTTTTGATTAACTGGAAGTTGAAAAGCTTCACCATCGTTGGTTTGAATAGCCATGCCCGTGGGAAAGTCAATGCAAAGTCCAAAATGTGCATCCCCCAAATAATCCATACCAACCAAAATAGGAACCATGCTTGAACGATCAAAGTTGGGATCATGTAGTTGAGGAGGATTGGGCAACGCAAACAGCTTGAAGGTCTTTGGGGAACCACTAGCATGTGATGTGATAGATGCTCGAAACAAAGCCCTGCCCCACTGCCCATTGCCAAAGCGAAACTACGGTCGCTCGGACTTCTGAATGTCAATCACCGCTTGGTGGTCACGTTCCAAGACACTAGAAATCAGCGACTGAACTGCCAAGAGAGGACCGGCTGATGCAGTCGCTCCGCAGTCAATCAAACCTTGGCTGGGAGACAAAGAAGTGGAGCTAGCAGCCGTGTTCATCTCCTTCACATCCATGAGCTCTAGCCCATACATGCCAGCACTGTATGCGTTCACCGCGGGTCGAGACTGACCCTTGCCCTTGCCTTTCTTGCCCTTGACCCACGCTTGAGCCTCGAGCCATTTGAGACCTTTCGATCCCTTCTTGCCCTTGCCCTTGCCAGTGAAATAGTTGTCAACCTCTTCATATTCAGTCATGTAGTGAGGCTTGAACTTGCCCTTGTTGAAACCCTTACTGTAGTAGGGGTGCCGCCGATCAGGACATTCACTGGAAAGGTGTGGGCCATGACAAATAAAGCAAGGTCCTCGGCCAGCAGGTTTGCCTTGAACAGGAATCTGACCAAAGCCCCTATCCTTTCTCAAGGCTTGTGTTGCCCTTTGAGCTTCACTCCATGTTCTCTGAGCTTCGGCTGCTAAGGACTCAGCCACGCGCTCAGCTTGCTGAGCTTCTTTGAGAGCAGCTTCATCCTCAGGAGACGGTGAAGTCTCTTCTTCTGCGGCAGCTTCTTCAGGAAGACTGGCATAGTAACCATCATAGTCCCACCAGTCCCAGTCGTCACCATTCCCAGTCATCACCATAAGCAGCCATTCCATCTAGCCACCACTCATCATAGTGTTCAGCCTGATAGTTGTCATGTTGTTGGCCACGTCCATGCTGACGACCAAGAAATTGCTCATCCCACAGGGTTTGAAGAGCATGGGTGACAACTTCAAACTCTAAACTGCCACGGGTCGTGCCCAGAATGTCACGCTTATCTTCAGGTGAAAGCCCAGCAGCTTGAAGAACTCGAAAACCACGCAGGACGCCGAGCACAAAGCTATCGGCCAGCGTCAGTTCATTCACAACGTCAAGAGATGTTGATGGAACCCCGACAGATCGTTTCTCAGGAACCAGTGGGGGCACTCTTCCAGACTGACGCGAAGGTGTTCGGCCAGTAGGAGAGCCCATGTCACCAGGAGGTGTAGCCGGCTCTGCAGCAGCAACGTGAGGCGCAGCAGTGGCTGCCGCAGGTGGAGCTTGTGGTGGATCTTCAGCAGGAACCTCGGGAGCTTCTGATGGAGGGGAAGAAGACGTTCGCCACCAGTCATCCCATTCACCTTGAGTCCATTCGTCCTCCAACTCATCAGAAGGCAGGCCAAAATCTTTGTCATCCTGTTTGATCCCATGCTTGTCCTCGTAAAGACGTATGATGGCTTCCACAAACTCGCTATAGCCCAAAGCTTCTCGAACCAAAAAGGCATGAATTGGTTCTCCTGGAGCTCGCTTGAAGGAAAAATACTGCTGACAAATAGCAGCAGCATTTGGAAGCGATTGCCTCACCAAAGGAGAAACTGCAAGTCGACGCAGATACTCCTTGGTGCCACCAACCCTGTCGAAGTCCACATCTGGCCAAGACATCGCCAGAAGCCTAGCAGGCCCAGCCAGCCTACTCATCAGCTTCGAAGCGCAATGTCGCCTCTTGTTCTGAGGCGTGGCGCGGACATACCAACACACTTCTCGGGTATATCGGCGCCAGCCCTTGGCTTGACCATCCCAACCAGGCACATGGTGCTCCTTCTCCATCTTGCCAAAGGAGACTGCAAGGAAAAAGCAAAGGCCCAGGTCGCGTCACCTGGAAGTACAAAAAGGTCAGCTGCAGCCAAAAATGCAAAAGCCCGACTGTCGCCGCAACGTCAATGCCTCAAGCAATGATTGCAGCAGCAAGAGATTCAAAGGCCCTGGCACAGCCGCAAGTCCAGCGCAAGCCTATCCCTAGACAATCATTCGTACAAGATTATGTGGTACATGGCTTGTTCGTGCTTGATTTTTCTTGTACTTGGCGAAACAAGATTTTAGCAAAAATTCTCGATTTTTCACGCTATACATTTTGATTTCTCATGGCCATGCTTAGGCCTGAATCTATCTTCTCTTAAAAGACAATGTTTTCATTGTCATTCCCATGCTTGAGCCAACACTTTGCCAAGATTCATTGTTTCATGCTCATCCCTTTGCTTGAGCCAGACATCTTTGACAGAATGTCATTCTCTTATGTTCATGCCCTTGTACCAAGCCAACATATTTTGACAACCAAAGATGTGTTTCCCATTTCTCCAGCTAGCCTATGTATCAATCTATATACACTACCATGACATATTTACTATCATGGGGTTCCTATATAACATCCAGAAAAAATGAATAAGTATAATATATAGGGGCTGGCCTATATATATATATATCCATGGCAATACTCCTGACATCTCACTATACCCCTGAAACCCAGATATTGTATATAATACATACCATCCAAAATTCCTTATTAATAGGTCTATTTTTTGATTATATAGGGGTAGGTAAGTATTTACAACCATACCATGGTGATAAATCACCCAAAAACACCCGGAGCTGGCAATGGATATTTTTGGAGACCATTGGAACCCACTAAAATCAGCAACCCTGGAAACCCTGGCGTCCCCCTATGGCTGTGCATGAGTTGGGATAATTTACGTCGTAAAATCCACGGAAGGACACTGTGGCATCTGCCATGCTCATATTCTATAGATGAATATATATATATATATTATTATTATTCATGTACAAAATATTTCTAGATTCATGGGGTACATATATACATATGTGTGTGTGCGTGCGCGTGTATATATATAGTATATATATATATATATATATGCCGAAGTTCCCTTAAGGATGTCATAGAATCAAAGATAGTATACTGTGTGTGCACCGGACCCGATCCCACCATGAGGCATATTGCATTTTTCATCAGAGCTGGTCAAGGGACAATTGCATCTGTTTTGGAAGGCCCATGAGCCACCGACACAGCGTCGCACTGGTGGCAGTACGCTTATGTGTCCTTTTCTTCACACGCATGGTCCTTTTCACAAAGTCCTCATCCATCCATGTAGCACTATAGTGGGGGTTTAACCTCGACTCGCGGTCTTCCAGTATGCAATGATGTAGGATGTGAATTTTCGGGCGAACACGCCATAGTTTCTTTCCATCTTCGATTGCCTTCTGAGCCAGCGTCATGTAACAGTTCATGTATATACTGCCCAGAATGGTCTTTTGTCGCTGTTGCATCTCTGACAGGTGCATGCCACTGTGTGCCAACATTCGCATCAAAGAATCCATGCACCATACCGCTGTAGTCATCAGATCTAACTTCGATTGTAGCTCGGGGTCATCTGCTGTGGGAGGACGGGCACTGAACTCATGTTGCAGCCACGCCAAAACCACGAATGTGTCAAAGCCCTTGCACCTCAGCTCTGGGTAGTCGGACCAGTTCAAGTTCGCTTTCGTCAGCTTGCGAAGCACAAGACTGTGTTTGTGCAGTTTTGCAAATCTCTTCAGCTGAACCGTGGCCTGCGCCAAGCTTCGCTCAATTGATCTTCCATGGAAATAACGTAGACCCACCAGCACTTTGATGCAGCTGCCTGTCAAATCGCGGCCACACCCTAAATGCCAGGTATGCAACAAGTCTGCTGATATCATCTTGACATCAAAGCCAGTCACCTTAGTCAGCTCGGGAACTTCGGATATAGGCCATGGCAAAGATGTCCACAGGGTAGCCTTCCATGGCGCATGTTCCGCCACGTCAGTGTAGGCATTGGTCATATCCGTATTCCCTTTCGTCGCTTCGCACTTCCAACATACCTGCAGAGCGTTTGAAAAATACATCCAGGCATGCGCATATGGGGCTCACCCAACATCGATGTTTTCTACCCACATGTTTTTTGGTATAAATACACAATTTATCAATGATTCCAAAATTATGCATGTTTTTTCACAATTTTTCGTGGACAGCTTAGGGTCTGTAGATATTGATATTGATCCTTCTGATTCCAAAAGCCACACACACATACATTTTATATATAGAGTCAGATACATAACACATACATATGTCCTGGCCATGGAGACCATGGGTCCAGAGCCATGTCCGGGCCCTAGAGCTGCGTGGGTCGGGCCTTCTCCGTTGATGGGTTCTTTCGGAAGTTGAACAGCTGCACCAGGTACTTCCAATCACCCTTAAAGTTCATCACGTAGAATCGAAGTTTCACAGCATGGTCCTGAAGTATCATATCAATGTTGTCAACTGTGAAGTAATGAAAAATATTTGAAAATTCAAAGGGCGATGCTTCGCAAACACTGATGTGCAGGTCAGACAAAAAGTGTATATATATAATATCTTGAAGCCAGGGTGCCGATACATCACCAGGGATTGCCACACCATTGCGTGACAGCTCGTTCAGCGATCCACAAATGATTTTTGCAGCAGATTGCAGTGTCAGATTGACTTTTCCAGCAAAGACCTGAGTTTTCCCAGTTTCAAGAAGCATTCATCCAAACGTTTGCAACAACTTCACAAAAAAGATTGGACCCATATATTTCACCGAGATGCATAGTAACTCGATGGGATGGTGGTGATCAAAAAGCGACTAGCTCCAGCATTTTTGAGGCATGGAGATAGATCAGATTGAAAATGAAAGGCCATATATGATCCTCCAAGAGCTTGCCCTTCGTCACCTGCATATATAGTCACATGACTTGGAAATTGAAAACCTGTCATGCTATATATATATATATATATATGTATATATATATATATATATATACAGATATATATATATAATTATTTATATACAGATATATTGGTCTCCAAATTTCAAAAAATCATAAGAAAAACAGACACCAAGGCACCATATAAGCTCAGGGGTGCAGATGCAGAAACCATAGAAGCAGCTGGATGGTCAGGAAACTCCTTCAACATGTGATGCCAGTAGTCGACCATCTTGTCCAATTGCACCAGCACGTTCAGGAAGCCGTTCTGAATCATTGCTGCTACCTGATTTCTTTTGGGAAATATCAGGGCTAGTGAGTTCAATTGAGATCACTACCACATATCTAGAAAAACCATTTATGTGGAAATTGATGCAAAAATACATTGTAAAGAACTGTCCAGTAACCAATTGATGGGGAAGGACAAACGGCCACTCCACCAATTCCACTATAGGATTCCCCTCGTCGTCATACCCACTGCAAATAGGAATTTCGCGATACGCCACGTTGCAATCCAGGCCGATCCCACTCCGCATCGCTCGGTTGTGGATGCGGCTCTCATTGGTTTCCCTTGTCCTGATGCAGGACCGGGACAATTTGGGTTCTTGCCTGCCATAATGCAATATATAAAGCAATGCAGAATAGTGCAGCCACGGAACTGATTGAAGACAGCCTCAGGGATTCGACGATTAATGCATGCCACAAAATCAAGAAGCAACGCAGGCACAATAACTTAATATATTGCCATAATTGCTCATATGTACATACATGTATCTGCAAACAAGCAGCACTTCCTATTGCATCACCTATTTCGCGTGCATGTTGAACAGTTGCATTTCCAGTGCCAATTCCGGAGGCCAGCCTAAGTCAGATTTGAAAGGTTTCAATTGAAGGCAGTGACAAACATGTGAGATATATCAAATCGAGATTTTAACATATTTTAACTGATCGTTCACATGTCACACAAATATATGCCGGCCAAAGAACACAGATTCAACTGTGGAAATTCGATCTCGCCAGGATCCTTCAGATTCAGCACCTGCGATGGAGCGGGCCCAAGAATCAGCATGCCATGATTGGCAATTGCATGCATGCAGTCGGTTGGAACATTCACACGCGAGAGCACCCTATTTTCTCCACACACACATCGATGGCGTAGGTAAATCCCACACAGCCATGGTTTCAAGATTGGATTGAATTTGAATCATATCAATCGGTTAGACATCCCAGCAAGATTGTGCGCACGACACGTGCGCGTTTCAATTGCGCGTTCCCTGCCATGTGTCCCATGCACAAGAAAATTATTTGGAGAATGACTGCAGTGATATTGGAAGATAGTGTTGAAATGTGTTGAATATTAAAATATATAATAGTTACTGGGATCCATGGCAAGGTTCTAGGCGCAACGCAACCCCATTGAAAAACTGCCCCAAGAAAATTGGGGTCCGGAGTGCCATCTCCAGTGACATATGGGCACACGGCGCACTCACCTAGCTAGGCCGCTTGCTTCTTGATCTCTGTGATCACTGCACGTGCCTGAGCCTTTACCATACGCATGTTCTTCACCTGAGCCGGTGGGGCTGCATAAACACACAAAGAACATCTTTGGAATCAAGTGCATATATTTAAAAATGAGATATATCGGATTTTAACAACCACTAAAAATGTAGATAAATAGTTTAATGATAATGGCATGCATGGATCCGATGAGATTGAGACATATTGAGACTTGGAGTGCGCAAGCAATTAATCCACAAATCTCATAAGCTGGCCTCAGCATCAAGTTCATTCTTGAGATCAAGCAAGTTGGCCTCCGTGTCGATTGTCTTCAGCCTTGCAATGCATTGCAAAACCAAAGTCATGGGCAGAACCAGCATCACCAAATATGACCAAAGAGTGTTCAAAGGTGACATGATAATGTTATTTTGAGATGAGTAACTCATCGATGGCTTCTTCGAATCGGGTCTTGAAGTCGCCAAGGATCTTTCGCAGTCCATTGTTCTGAGGCAACTCCAAGCTGATGTTGCTGACGGCGTTCATTTCCTTCTTTAAGGAATTGCCTCACAATCCAGGCAGGTTGTGACGGGTGTGAAATCCAAATCTACAACCAAGCAAATGGGCAGCAACAAAAGTATTTTGAAAGCTAAGGCACACATCTCAGACTTCATCTCATCCATGGTCTTGGCAACCACTTCGCCCACCCGTCCATTGGCGCCAGATTTTGCCTTGGCCTTCGCTTTGGCCTTCGACTTAGCTTTGGGCTCCGCCGTGGTCGGTGCGGTGGAAGCATCTGCAGTGGTGGTTCCTGCACAGAATGGGGGATGCATGATATATGGAACGGATGGATGCATGGATGGGTGGATGGATGGACAAATATATATATATATAAACATGTACATATTTATTTATATATATATACATATATATAGAGTTAGATGTATACTTAAACAAATAATCATATATATTTATGTGTGTACCACGTGTGGGTATTTAAAATTTGAACAACAACACAATATAGCAATACACATACACATGAAATATATATTGCATATATATATACATCCATGTGTACAGAGGATTGGAGATTCTTCTGATGGGTTTGTTCAATTTTGAAAAATGCAAACATGCAGTCCTGCAGCTGGTGCCTGCACTGACTGCATCATTTGCTCCAAGCTGCCTGAAGGCAAGGCACATCGCTGTTTCGGGCCCTTTGGGCCACTCATCATAGCATCCAAAGCACCGGCACTCGGTTGGCACTGAATGTTCACCTTGGACTCTTGTTTCACTTCTTCCACATCCTTCAACACGCAGCTGGTTTGGACCCAGTACTTGTAGAGGCTCGGAAGGTGAGGGCAGTCAGCATCTGGGATGCCACCCTTTGCCACTATGGCTGAAATTTTTTCACGTGGAAACCCACGTGAAACCATCTCAGCGACGGTCAGCAGTTCCTTCTGCGTGCCCAGCTTTGAGCTCGATGTCTTCGAAATCACGATGTTGGCCTCGATTGCTGCCGCATCGCCATTCTTCTGAACCCACTCGCGCAAGAGCTGCTTTCTGTCCTGAAGGTTGGCATGCAACAAAAGGCAACATTAAGGCAATGCAGTTTTCACCATTTTTCATCAAATTTCACAATCAACATGTTTGAAACCCATGTCCTCCTTTGAGCCAGCCCACATCTTGGCCATGTGCGGAAAGGACTTGGCTCCATCAGCCGACTCCTCCAGAAGCCTTTTTAATCGCATGCCCTCCTTCTTGTGCGTCACCCAATCGACACGATCAGGTCCTGCTGTTTCGGCGACAGCTCTAGGACCAGGGTTCAGAAGTCCTTCAACTCTCGTGGCCTCGGCCAGGGCTGCAGCTTGTTCTCGTTCCACCTGACCTTTCATCAAGGCTTGCAAACCAGCTAGCTCAAGTGTGCGGTCTGGTGGGCCAGCCGCTTCCTGAAGAACTGGCCTGTCCGGCTTCTCCTTTTCAACGGCTGAAGCATCCGGCTGTTGGACAGGGATCTTTGGCTCATTGGTCGGAGCTGCAGCTTTGGGCTGTTGGACAGGAATCTCTGGCTCAGAGGAGGTCGGGGCTGCAGCATTGGGCTGTTGGACAGGAATCTTTGGCTCAGAGGTCGGGGCTGCAGCAGGAGGCTGTTGGACAAGGGCCATTGGCTCAGCAGAGGTTGGAACTGCAGCATCAGGCTGTTGGTCAGAAGTCTGGCCAGCCTTGATGGAGAGCACACCAAGCTTCTCCATGGGAGGCGCAGCTTCAGCGGTGATATCAATTGGCCCAAGGCTCCAGTTTCTGGCTTTGGCAAGGGCCACATACTTGTCTTTGATATACTTTACCCATTTCCCATTCTCCTCCTTGTAGTCGTAGAACTCTCGCTCCCACGACTCCCCCAAACTGGCCGTGGAAGCCAAGCTGTCTTCCTTCTCCAAGCTCTTCTCGTTCACTGCAGAAGTCACGTCATTGTCAGCCATCCTCTCATCTTCGTCGCAAAGTGTGGCTGGTTGATCCAAATCCATCTCATGATCACTCTGGCGGTCTGGCTCCTCCTCTTGCATGGGCACATCAGGCACAGTTTCAGGAAGAGCAGGGGAGGGCGCAGCCGAAATGTCTCCAGGGATCGTGTCTGGCAACGTGACATTCGAAGGGCCATCTTCCTTAGTGGGAATTTGACAGCTGATGTGCCAAGAAAAAATATATTTAGGCTAAACACACATATAATTCTATAAATATCAGTAACTATAACAGCATAAATATATACAAATACCCACACATTTATTTATTTATATATATATATATATCTATAAATAGATGATGAATGTATTTCCAAGCACCTCCAAAGGAGTTGCCCGTTGGAGCTTAGAAGGCTCGGCAGGGGCACCAGCAGCGACCTGACAGGACTCCAACTGCTTGATGTATGCAAGCGCTGCCGACAATTGATTTTGTAGATCTCCAGGCTGGCTCTCACCAAGCCTCAAGGGCATTTTGCAAGTAAATGTGGATTTTTTATGTACAAGGGCCCAAAGAAAAATGTAGAAACATCGTTTGTTAAACTTAATCGTCAATATACAATATATGAGAAAACATCAGCACATACCAATTCTGTGAGAAATCTAAAAAAATATAGACGCCAGAAAGTAAAGTTTCATATCAATAACTGTAATTACACATATTCACATGATAGCTAGCTGGCCATTTCAACAAACCCGTTCATATGTGCTTCCAAGGCTCACAATCGTGCTCGCAGTCGAGATGGAATCCAACTCCTTGGTCTGCTCGCCCAGCTTGTCATGGGGCCCCTGGTTGTTGACAAAGTCAATTGCGCGCTTCAAAGTATCACATGACCTCGGGAAGCGACAACACGGCTGAAGAAGTCGAAAAGTGATTCTATGATGTACTCTACAATATATGCAATGGGGCTCGGCTCGGAGCATTTCATTTCATGGTTCAACCTTTTAAACAGGTATATATTATGATATAATATGATATATACTGCACATGTGACATGTGTTGCAGCAATTTACATTTATTGCAGCCAAATGGCCATACAGTATCTTGAGAATCATGAGCACTGGGAGCTTTGGGGCTGGTTGGTGCTGGTTGGGTCGCGCCTTGATCACTGGGCTTGCCCACTGCGCGTCGACGGGAAGGCGTCACCAAACCATCCCCAGCAATTGCGTCCAACGGCACCTGCACTGGCGGCTTGCGCTTCCGGGTCACATCTTCTGCATGTTCAGGGCCATCTTCTGCATGTTCAGGGCCATATAATGCATAGTACTCTGTGGCGGGGGTCTCAACATCTTCGGCCTCCTCAGGAGGTACTGACTTGTTCTTCTTGGCATCGACCTTTCGTTTCTTTCAGCTTTTGTCATCTCCTTCTTGTCGACATTCTTTGACTTGGACGCATTCTGAGACTCCTGCTTCTGCGTTTTCGCCTTTTTCCCATGCACCTTCTTGACCTTCTTGGGCTGGCATGCCGATGCACCGCTCTTGGCTTTTGCTTTGCCTTTCGGCTTTGACTTGGCTGCTGTCGCTTTGGCTTTGATGGGCTTGGAGGGCTGCGAGGGCTGCGACTTGGGCGTTGGAGATTCGGCAGAATTGATATCCTTCTTCTTGCGCTTAGGCTTCGTCTCATTCTCCATGTCCTCAAGACAGAGGCACGATAGGTAAAGAGGCCGTGGTACCGGGTCATATATATATATATATATATGCTATAATATATTAACATATTATATAACTATATCCCCTTAATGGCGATATCTTTAAAGCAATCGCACAATCCTGATCTCAGTTGATAATGGTGAATTTCGACAGCAAACATACGGTATAATATCAGATCGTTTAAAGGCTATCAGGTATATATCAGTATAAACTTACCAATTTTGGCACATCATGGAATTCTCATTATGCAACAAAGCGGCTGGCAACGGAGTAGGAGGTGGCCCAAGGACATGGTGCATGATTGTGAATGCCTCCGCCCTGTTGACCTTCAGGTGCTTGGCCACAACGTGCAACTTGTCCCAGGCCAGCTCATCAATGGGAAAGGGCAAGTTGCTCAAGGAAGCAGCCATAGCGACTACCACCCAGATCTACTATCCACCCAGAGCTGTGCACCAAAAATGTGCCTGCACGATTTATGTATGATATATAGGACCCATGGATACAATCATGAATCATGGCAGGGTGGATCTTGCATTCAAAGCCCGTGAATTTCGTGAAAAACAAAATCAGAAATTCCAGATATAGCTCAAATGTAATGGGAATTTCAGATTTTTTTTTTCACGTTTTTCACGGAGTTTTCACGGTCATCACCTACTTTTTCACGCTCAATTCACGTTTTTTCACGGTAACGATTTCGCTGAAAAGTCCAGCCTAAGTTCTCCGACATGGTTGCAATGTGGAGTTTTGCACACTGCCCTTAATTTCAATCTTGCACAAATCCATTTTGGATTACTTCACATAGGGCTTCATGCCACGCTTGAGGTTGAGCTGCTGAAAGATTTCGGCCTCAACTCTTGATTTTCACATGCGCTGACATTTTGATTTTTGGCTGGCGATGCAATCAGACATAAGAAACCCTGGGGAACAGACCCATTGCCCCGTTGGCTGGAAGTGACGGCCACCAGCCAGGTAGCGAAGCGCTGCAGGAAGTTCTGCCTCGAAGGACGGGGCATGAGGCAGTCACAGTCATATATAGGAAATAAAAGATATATTATATTATGGGATTTTGGATGTATATATATATATAAAAATAAATAGAGTGTTTACCAAAGGGAAGCTCGAAACAGTTTGCCGTGCACTGCATATATTGGACCCATGTAAATTAATGCCAAGCTGCATCATGCCACAAGTCACCAAGGCATTCAATGGTGACGTTCCCCATGGGAGAAAAAACTTTGGCGAAGAGCTCTGCATCACTGCATGTCCAGTCAATGTTGACTTCCATGCGAGGTCCAGGCAAAGGTACCTTCCAAGAATCAAACAATGGCCAAGTTTGACAACCAAGTAAAACCCATCCCCATCGAAGCCCGCCTGACGGGGCGTCACAGCCACTGAAGCGATGCATTGTCCAAACTCAGGCGTGTAGGACCTGAGCATTGATAATTAAGATCTAAAAGGATTGAAATCTTAAGCCACACAGTTGCACTGGGTTTCCATCATGAAATGCACTATATACAACTTAAATTGAGATAAGGCACTGGCTCCTCTTCAGCCTGGATGCCACTCCCACATGGCGGCGCTTTCCACCTTTGTCGATGTATTTCCTAACCAGCCCCTGAGACGAGCCCGGTAGCGACCGTAGGGCCTCACGACTTAGCTGTCCACCTGGCCAGACCAATGAGAAATGCAGGTGTATATATATAGACCTACATATATATATATATATGTATATATATATATATATGTATATATAATATTATAATTATATAATGACGTCAGCAAATGCAAACATGCAGAAACCCAACAAAGTGTAGGTCATTCCCGCGCCTTGCTTCACCACTTCTTCCAGCAACTCTCGACAGTTGGACCAAAGTCTATGCCGTTTGGCGGTGTTTCCATTGAAGGCACCCATCCAAAAAGAACCAGAGAACACCTAGGAATTCATTCAACAATGCAACAGCAACAGAGCACCACCATGCACTGATATATCGGCCAGAATGCAGTATACATAGTTGAGCCAAGGTGCACGTCCAATTGCCAACACCTGTTGAAATCTCGGGTGCATAGGCAAAGAGCTCCCTTCCGGCTGCTCCACTACGAACCTTATGCCTCTGGCGAAGCATAAGATGAGGGCCAAAGCCAGCCTGGAACAGAATAAGTTCCCAAGAGCCACAAATTTGTACCCCTGGTTACCGAGGAAGGAATTGAACACATCTCGGCCAGCAGTATGGCATGACCTGAAGCAACTGCCAGCGTTGCCAAAAAAAACAAGTTGATACAATGGTCACTGTAATCAACAAAATCACAGCGCTCGGCGCTAGGTGTAGATACCATGCAACTCAGCCAAGGCACATCTTGGTAAAGCTGTTGCAGCAAATCCCAGAGAGACATAGGCCGCCAGGCTTCGTGTTCCAGATCTCCCTGCAGACCAGCCTAAGACGCTATATATATGAGCACATATTCTAAAATGGAAAACAGCACTGATCAAGTTGCCCGATTATTCCACAACTGTGCATTGAAAACAACTTTGCAATTAAGCAACAGGAACCCGTGAGTGGTACTCATGTCCATGAGACTGGTGTAACGTACGTCATGACAGCTACCGACCAGCCCCATGTTCCAGCAAGCCAGTGTCACCGCAGCATCACCTGCGAAGACTTCCACAAAGTCATTCTGCAAGGCCGGTGGCTGGACAACACAAGGGCTTTGTCCCAGCATCACCACCAGCAAAATCAGCGCCGCTGGCGACTGCCATTTCAGAAGCGATGCGACCACCATATGGCACCCAAAAGCAAGGCTGCTATCAGCGCACCAGCTAGGGCTTTCGATCCAGGCTGCAATTGACTAGTATATATAGACGGTCAAAAAAAATTATCGCTGCAGGACTTTTGGTACGATTGTCTTGCCATTGAATGGAGAGCTGATTTGATGCACATCCCTGATCCATGCTGTATAGACATGAAAGCAGCCACGGCCCCCTCCCACATTACTTTTTTCCACCGATGCAGGTGCACGAAGTGCAAATAGCACATGCACACATTTCCATGCATGAGACCAAAATTTAGGTCTGCGTGATGTGTGAAAAATATGCTTCGCCATAATTCGATATTGAATTTCTAGTGAGTGCACTAACCACCCATGCGCTTGAACTGAATCACATCAAGTTGGGTTAGCCCGTATCCAATATATATATATATATCTCTCTCTCTATCTAGCTGTTTGTTTGTCTGTCAGTCGTTCCTCTATCTATCTATCTATCTATATCCCTCTCAATTAGCTGAATGTGTAGTTTCAATGACATTTGAAGGAACTTAATCATTCTGGGGTTTGATATTTGCAGTTCTAGGATGCCCATGGGTTAGTAGTGCAATCTTTGGAGACAAATCGCCTCTTCTTCAACTCAGGCAAATCCAAACTAGATAAAAGTTGTCGTTTCAGGTTGCCCCTGTTCCACTCAGCCTGTGCATCTTTCCAGGACATCCCAGTTGCCATCTTTTCAGAAACAAAATGTTTCCGTAGCTCTGAATAGCGCGCTGGGGTGTATGTCTCATCAGGTGTGGCCGGTTTGAACTCATCTGGCACAACAACGGCTGGCTCGGCCTTTGGGTCTCCTTTGGAAGCCTTGGCCACCTGGGCAGGAGCTCGGCGTTTGTTCTTCGACTTCTTCTTTCGTTTCTGGCGCGGCTTCTCAGTTCCTGGCTCATCTTGGTTGTCCACATCAGCTTCATCAGCTTTCTTGTATTGGGCGGACTGCGGAAACGGGGCTGGAGCAGTCATCATACATTTCTCTTCCAAGACTTTCAAGACCTCAGAAGTTTGTCGCGGTATATTTGTAATGCTGTGCACAGGGACATCTCCAATATCTGAATCTTTCATGTATAAACATGTTTATAACAACTGTATACTGTACCCGCAAAAACCACATATATACAGATTTGATGGGAAGCTGATTTTCAAAGTGGCATGGGACAATTTATGGCCTAGGCACATGGTCAGGGAGTTGACCCTTGGTCTCAACAGGCTTCTCATAGGAGGCACCATGTCTTGCATTTTTCAATGCCTCTGCCAATGCCATGATGTGATCAGCGCGTGGTTTTGAAGGCGGACTAGGAGTTTGGACATTGTCCCATGCCTCAACCTGCAAGCTTCGATTTTGCAGCAACTTGTCCCTTTTGCACTGAGGTGTCACCAGTCTTTTCGAGGACGAGCTTTGGGAACCCAGCTCGGACAAGGTGTCAACCGCTTTCATTTCACGTTCATCACCCGACTCGCCATCCACGTCATCCTCATGCAGGAGTGAAAGTCCTCAGACGTCACCAAATCGCAGGGAGCAAAATTAGATCATGTGGTTTTCGGATCAGTTTCACAGACTTCCATGCGTGCGCATATGTACACGTACTGTTTTCACACCCATCGCAAACAAATCCTTTGTTTCAAAAACTGGTGCAAATGAGGGAACCACATGACCATCTTATCGGATCAGATCGAGTCGTCTTTCAATTCCGTGGGGTTCCCAAGAAGAGCTATCACTAATTTGCAACATGGTTAATATATGGATCAATATTCAGGGTTCTGAGGGTCAGTCTGTGTATATATAATATATATGTACTGATTTAATATATATATATAATCAGATATATATTATGATTCATAGGATGGAATTTTATGTATATGATAATATATGCAGCCATGATTCACAAATGCCACGCAATGCGTCCTTGAGCGCCCTAGTCTTAGGCTGCTGTGCGCCTTTCGATCGCTGCGCAAGTCTCCGAAACCTGCTGACCTAAGATGGTAACAGGATTGTTTTTGAAAGGCTAAGATGCAATATGAATGCTCTGCAAGACGAAAGCGACTCATGCACATAATGTATAGACTGCTGCCAAGAAGCTAGCCTTTGAAGCGCCAAGCCCATTTTAAGGGCCCAAGTCTGCACACAGTCCATGCTGCTAACCATGCCCTTGGGCAGCAGCTTGTGCTTTTCGTAGCACTGGATGATGACGATCTTGAGCAGGTGGGAGCTGAACCTTCCACGGCCACGCGTGGCCCTCATGATGCCCTCCACTGCCTCCAGCGGCCATGAAGACAGAATTAAGATGAAAGAATGCAAAGAAACATGAAGGCATGCAGGTGCGCAGAATCTTCCTGCCTCTATGTTGGTCTCCACGTCTTTCAAACTTGGTCTGACAGATGTGAAGAGCTTGCTGGAAGCGTCAACCAAGAAGCTAAAACCATTTTGTCGTAGAGATGGAAACTTGTCCAGCTCTTGTATGTACTCTGGCACACATAGCGTACATGGCGGCGATGGCATTTCTAAAAAGAGTATATCAGCGATATCAGGGTCCAATTAGTCTGGAAACCTTGGGGAATTCAGAGCAAAATCCATACGATGTTTCCTTGGGGATTTAAACATGGCTGCATATACGTGCATATACATATACCTAATGAATGATATGTAGATCATATATATATATATATGTATGTATCTATGTCTAGGACATATACCATAAATAAGGTTATATATATATGATTATGTATTGCGATATAGATAGAAAATATAGGCGATATATGATACCTTGTGCCTTGTGCCCGGTGCCTGTACTGTATACCGACCCAAGGCTGCGGACAATGCATCTTGCACTTGCAACCGTGGCGCTAGATTCAAGGCAGGTCACTGCAAGCAAGGGCAGGGGGTGGCACCTGATTGCCTGATCTGCCATAGCCTCATGCCTCAGATAAAACCAATCAACGACATCGCAAACTAAAGGGACCCAAGAAATGCACATATTGTACGTCTGGTTCGAATGCATGAGGGCCGGGCCAGTTTCACACGAAGATATCTCCAGACATAGGTTTATACCTTGCAGTTTCCAGGCATATATATATATATATATTCATATGTATATATTTATGAAAGCCAAGCTCCAAGTGGAAACTTCAAGTGAATTTTCCATGCCACATTGGACAAATAAATTGTGGCGATGGTGAGTAATTACCTTTATATACATATATATATATATATTCATGGGACTTTAGAATATTGCTTAAGCCATATATCCAAGCCGGCCTCAACCAGCGACGATGGTCAGATCGATGTCGAAGTTCACAATTAAATTGAGCACGAGCACCTGCAAACAGAATCCCGACATTGAAGAATTGAAGAGTCTGAGAAAAGAAATTGATAAACTCTATCTAAATGCAAAAACCCACATTCCAAGATCAGCAATCATAATGCATGCACTGGCACCTTTTTTCTCTTTGAAAGAGTTTCAAGATTGATTTTGGAATTGAACAAAACTAGGGACCTGGGCCGCTGGCTGATTTCCATCATATGCGTTGGTTGGTTCAAACATTCTGTTCAACAAATAATACAATAGATTCTTGGTTGAAAGCATGTGTGAAGATACCTAAAAGCATTCTCAATCAGCCATGCCATGATCGCTGGTTTCAGGCTGTTCTGTAACTTCCCGGGCATGGACACAAGCTTCATTCTCTGTCTTCAACTTAGCGATCAAGTCCTTGATGTGTTCCTGTCGTTCCAGGAGCTGCAAGATGTCATTCTCCAGTCGGAGGCTGTGCGCTTCCTCAGTTGGGCCCAAAAGACGGGATACTATATGTATCTGAATAGTTTTTGAGGTCCAATTGAAGCCCATGCATGCAGGGACAGTGCATATACTACATTGAGTCAAGTGATTGAATGCTTCAAAGTTGAAATGGTGTCCATGAAGTAATTGAAAAAAGGTTCCATCATGGCCATTGCCAGTCGCACCATGCTGTATCGCTGCTTGTTGATGATGCCCCTCTTGTAGGATTCCTGACCTCAAAATCCATGGGAGGCAATGCTCGAATGAAACTATATTGGCAAACAACTAGTCTATATATATATATATATGCATCACGCTTGTCAAATTCAAAATTAAGCCCAGGCACACTTCTCTGCATAGACGGTTCTCAGCACATAGTCCGGGTGGGTACCTAAGGGTCAAAATATCAAAGCAGAGGGGACTGAGATCTCTTGATGCAGTATGCAACTAAGGGTCAATGAATTAAGTCCTGATTTGGATTGAATATTTATCATCTATATATCAACTCATTAAAAAAAAGCTATATACAACTATAAGCAATGCTTTAAAAACACGCAGAAAGCACAGATATATCACCGAACTGCATCTGTACATATGTTTTTCTACAAACAAATGCTTCCCAGGGACCATTCGAGATTTGAAGCCGCTCTGCATCCGTCATGGACCCAGCTGGGGATTGATCGGCATCTCAGATGTGCATCAAGGGAATTAATATTTCCGTGCGTACGGCAAACAAATAAATAAATATGTATATATATTATATTTAGATCTATTTTCAGTAAAAACATGCACTCATAGACATATATGTGTGTGTGTGTGTGTGTGTCAAATGCAATTTTTAGATGACACACTGGCTCCATATTGAGCCAAGCCTCCATCAGCAAGCGCATTGCCAAGTTCGTCTTCCCCTGGGAGAGGAAACCCATCCTCTTGCAGTGGCGGTCCCAGATCAAGTTCAGGAGTGCGACCATCCTTTCCTTCAGCATGTGGAGTGTGTGTAAATAAAACATAAATAAATAAATAAATATATATATATATATATATTTGCATATATATACATATTTATGCATATATATATATAGATATATATGCATATATATATATATACTGATTTACATATAAACATCTATATACCCCTATTTATCAATCTTTGTATGGGTTCTAATATTTCTACAGCTGAGAGTTTTTAACAAGGTTGCCTGAACATGTGATCAAAATTGTGAAGTAGTAGCCAAGCAACGGCCACCATGACAAGGCAAAGACTTGCCATGAAAGGTGAAGCGATAGGCTTCTGGAATCTGCACGTTGCCGATCTTCCGGGGCTCTCTGGGCGTCGCTATCATGATAGTCGATGGCACCACCTTGGATTAATGCCACAACCCCAAAAAAGATGTTCATTCTTGAGAAACCTTATGCAGCGAGGGATGACTGATCGATATTGATATATATATATACATACATATACATATACATATACATATATATTGATTTACATGTGCATCGATGTGAAAACCAACCAATATTCGACATGAATGCCTTAAATTGATTCAAGGTTCCGCGGGCACTCCCTGCCTCAAACCCTGCGGCAGCTTTGATATGGGCCCACTTGGTTTCGCCCTAGGTGGACAAGGATCTGGACGCATTGCAGAAGCAGCAGGCTCCACCACAATATGGGTATCCTGGGCAGGGACCGGCAGATAATATATTGAGACAAGGATGGAAACAGAAGATTTTGCAACATGACCAATAAGCAAAACAGGTATTCCTTCAGTGTTTCTTCATTTTTGGGACTGACCAACCAGTAAACATTTATAATTTTCAAGCTATATACATATGCACATCTGAAGAACAAATTTCAAATCTGTCCATAGTAAATTGAAATTAGAAAGCTTCACACACATCACTGTCTACATGACTCTGGTAACAAAGAAATCATCTATATAGAATGACAGCCAAGTAACAGACGACCAAGAATCCTGAGGGCTTTCTTCCTCCACCTCCACCTCCTCATAAGCCCCTGATGCCATCGCGCGATCGAGGTGGCTGGCTATGGGCCATGCGCGGTGATGCGCTTAAGGCTGCGAGATGCAAAGTGTCCTAATGCAGTGTCCTAAAATCCCTTTATTTCTCCATGTATTAACCCAGAATTGAATTTTTACTGTCAAACAATGCTATATATATATATATATATTGGTTTCTTGGAAGGACTTGCATCAACGAAGTTGCACTGAAAAAATGCTCGATGCAATGGCCCATATAAGCAGCTGGCGCCTTCATAGGCAATCAATGGCGCACGAAGGCCATGGGCATCGACGCAGCAATGTCCGAAAAAAAAAACATATCTAAAATATTCCAACACTCACTTTGCACCTGCATTTTGCACTGACGTGTCACATCAAGGCATGCTCCGATATGATGGGATTCCAAGCTAGGAATGAAATGATTTGTGGTCATATAGGGATATTGGAGCATACCTATAGATAGTTAACTCGCTACCTGGAGAATGCTGAACGTGAAAAAAGGCAAGGCGCAGCAAGTGGATCGAATGGACCTTGGAGAGCCTTAAATTGGGATGGAACCTTAAATTTTTTAAGGGATATGAATGTAAGAAAATCACCAAAATATTTGCAAATACCACGATAATTGCCTTATGTAAGGCAGATTAAGGCAGTTTGATCCCAATGCTTCCCTTATTATTTTAGTGTTACCTATATATAGTAAGCCCCAATAAATAAATATATATATATATATTATTGCCCCCATGTGTTGAATCAAGAAATATAACTGAGCAATAAATAAAATTCTGGGGTAAAACTAATTGATATACCACATGATATTGGCAAGGAACGAATTTTTCTGGGTTAGACCTAAATTATATAAACCTTGCAAAAGCCAAACTAGCTCTATATGTTATAAACTTCCGTTCGAAAGCATATAGCCTTTCTATGTGCTGATTATTTCCTCATCTGCTCTGGCAAAGCCAGGCAAGAAAGGCTTAATTCTTGTATTTCTAGCTTTTCACGATTTTTCACGCTCATTTGGGCCCACAACCTTTTCAGGTACAAATGGCCAAACAACCCATGTACAACATCATCTGGTCGAAACGATTGTCTAGGTCCCTTGAGGATGTAGTAGCGCAGCAGCTGGAGCAACACTTGCTCCGCTACCAGTGTAGCGGGTGCACACTGGTAGCAGATTGAGCTCTCAACCAAATGGGGTTTCCACAGCCCCACCAATCAAACAGCACAGCAAATGAAGCGAGCGCAAGGCTCAGCAAATGTTTTCCATGCACAGCGGGTGTGCGTACAATCGCACCATCAAGTGCTCAAAGGGGCCCCTACAGACCCGTATGGTCATATGAGCCAAGCATCACGGAGTCATCCAAGTTTCAGATTGGCAATGCTGATTGGCAAAGGAAGGTACCTGGCAGGTCAGGAGCTGGACATGTTGCAGAATCCCTGGTGGGATGCCCCCGACCAAAAGATGGATGCTGTCGATTGGTGAAGGAGCTTTTCGAGAGCAATGGTTGTATCAATTGTCTCTGTTAGCCATAAGCTAACGAGCTGTTTTTTTTTAGAGTTTCCCAACCAGATGATGGGATGTTCAAGTCTGATGGTTCAGAAGGTTTGATTAACGTCAAGTTCAAGTTCATGTTCATCATCATCATCATCATCACCATCATCATCATCCTCATCACAATCATCACCATCATCATCATCATCCTCATCACAATCATCACCATCACCATCATCATCATCATCGTCATCATCATCATCATCCTCGTCATCAATCATCATCAATCATCATCATCATCAACATCATCAGCAGCAGCAGCAGCACCACCATCACCATCGTCGTCGTCGTCGTCGTCATCATCATCATCCCCATCCTGATCCTGATCCTCATCATCCTCATCCTCGCCCTTTTCTTTCATCCTTAAGTCACAACGAAAGCCATAGGTTTTCTTTGGCCTCCTCAGCTCCACTTTCGGCCTCGAAGAAGCCGTGGTGCTGAAGTTCTGCAACAATCGCTACCTGCTGCAGTCGGAGCAGATGGCCGCAGAGCTTGCACGACACCTGGGAGTCCCCGGCCCCGCGTCGCGGATCCTGCTGAAGCAGCACGACGTCGCGGAGTGGCAGGAGCTGACGCAAGCTGCGGCCAAGAAGTGCCCGGCACTGCTGGAGATGTTGGAGAAGAAGGTTGGAACATGTTGGAACATGTTGGAACTTTGGACAGCCCTGAGGATCCAATTTGCTGCCAAAAGTTGTATGAAAATATGGAATCCTGCATTGATTGGCTTGAAATCTGCAAACATAGAAGGCGCCTGAATCTTGTATTGATCAATTCATCCAATCTTCTGCCTATCATTTTTTGAATTCAAACTCGGACCTTCTGAGGGATCCAATCCTATTCTAACAGCATGATATAGTATCATTGGGGGTTCCGATCACATTATCACCATGGTTTTGGCCTCAAACTACCATTCTTATGAGAGAAGCACTTGCGGAGGGCCTTGGTTTGGGGGTGGTGAACAATTGGAAACCCTGAAGGTGTCCATGCTGTTGCTTCAATATGTTCCCGGCAAAAGCTTGGACCATGAGGAGGAGGCTTTTCTGCCACCGAACCTTCCCTCTGCATGCAAGGCCTTGGGAAAGTTGTTCACCTTAGATTCTGGCTGCTGATGTGGTATGTGTGTTCTTATTTTTCATCTAGTGGCTGCCCATTCAGTCACTTGGCTGGCGTGGCAATCCAGCCAATACCATTTGGAC